TATTTTATGAACGAAATAAATGACAAAAATTTTTTATTTTGGCTTGTTTTTGTTTTTTTTTTCTTTTTGAAAATCTTAGATCTTCCGAATGAGAAATTTTTAATCGATTGTCATTCACAGTTTTTCTTTTTTCTTTTTGTGTTTTTTCTTTTGCCAATTTTTCGAACGAACTATTTCTGTGTGTGCTTGCATTTATTATTGCAAAAAAAAAATGATTGAAAATTTGATCTTTTCTTTCCTTGCTTGCAGTGAGATGTATTTAAATGACTTGTTTTTTTTAGGAATTCTGCAATAATAAAATAAAACAGCACGAAAAAATTATTTTGAAAATAGAAAAATTTTGGATTTACATGCCTACTCATTGAAATAGGTCTAACGAGGAAAAATTTCTAAGTGTCAAATAACTTTTGAGTCGAGGCTATATGCATCATGTGGATTGTAATGAGCTATGAATACTCCCCAAAAGAGTTCGGATTAATAGCTTATTGCTGCTGAGATATTGTATGTTTTATCAGAATGGCATGAGCCTCTCAGAAACACAAGGAATATTGAGTTTCAAATTTCGACTTGAAACTTTGTATAGAGACAGACTTGTCCGAGAGTAGCTTATCGTGAAAGTTTCGGATTTCTCGATAGTGTCTATTCTAGAATGAGAACATCGGCATTTGCCGCTGCATATGAACCGCGTGAAAAAACATGCTTTTATCATAGCCATCTCTTAGGATAGAAGCAATCAAGAGATCTGAAACTTTTACAATAAACTATTCTCATTAAGACATGTTTCTATGCAAAATTTAAAGTCGAAATTCGAAACTCAGTTTCCCTAATATTCGTGAGGAATCCAAGGCACTCTGCTAAAAAAATACGGTTAGAATACAGTATCTTGGCAGCAATAAGCTATTAGGCCGAACTCTTTTCAGAGTCTTTATAGCTCATGAGAATCTATATGATGCATATAGTCCCGAATCATAAAGTGATTTGACATTTAGCAACGTTCCCTCATAATTATGCAACGATGTGCTAAATATGGAGCTCGTCTACTATCCATTGCAAAATAAAAGAAGAGTGGTTATTTTCCAAATAACTTCCCAATGGAAACAGCTGTCAACCTGCACTTTACGCATATTAGAAAGAAGTTGACATTCTACATCTTTCTATATAATATTAAATAAAGCTAGTTCACAATCAGATGAACAATTAGCGAAATTCAAAGAAGTATCTAAAGTCCTTTGAAAAACAGATAGAATTTCACTTCTAAGGAGTGCATTAGATTCTCCTATACTTAATATTTACATTTCTAAACATACCTGAAATTTTTATGTTGCTTTGTTCAAAAGCTATACATCCAACATTGATAGTTATCAATGCTTCAACCAGCTATTTTTGTATATGTTTCAAGTACAAGCAATTCCACGCCTATCAACAAAATATTAGGTTTTCGACCATTCTGAATAGAACGAAACTATTCATTTAATAATGATACTTTTCTTTGTCATGTAAAAGTATTGTTGAGCATATTACACCTAGTAGTTTCCAACTATCTTATTTGTAAACCATGATGACACAATATACTTCTACATGTGGAATATCTTTTTGTTGTGTTGGATTAGATTGGAGACTCATCTGTTCTAACAACGAGGTGGCAGACAATTTTTCTGTCCTATGTAGTGTTCACGCATAACGTACTACCTGAAAAAAGTTATCTTCAACGCATAGATACAAGCACAAATCAATTACAGAAAGGATATGATAAATTTTCTTTCTTGTTAAATTGAACATTTAGATCTATATTTCTATTACGTAACTCAAGGAAAATAAAGAAACATATTGTGGAAGTCAATTGAGATAAAGATCAGTTATTGACAAGATACCTGCATGTCATGATTTCTCACAAGATACGAAGCAAACAATGTTCAATATGATCAAGTTTGTAGAGTGTGACAAGAGTGGCTGTTTAATTCTATTGAACAACGTAAATGATCGCATCAAATCTGTTCTTGTTATATCAATGACATCAAGTGAAAGACTAAAGAGAGAAATAAGATAACAGGAAAGAAAGATGTTGAAAAAAGAAAACGAAGTGCTGAGACCAAAGAAGAAACGGAAGCAATAAAAACAAGATGAAAAAGATGCAACGATTCTGGCTACTTTCCGACTTCAAAATCCCCGTGCCCGATCAACATCATCGTTATGATCAGCTTCTGTTACATCAGATATCACTACGACAATGCTCATGCCTGTTGCTAAACCATCAAAAAATGCGGTAATGCTATTGATTTGTCTATCATTTTGGCGGAAGATTAAAAAGAAAATGTTCGATACGTCAGCGAGGTTGCCACCCGATTCGGGTATTTCCAGCACCAATTCGCCTAGGAATCTGTTCCAAGTGTTCTAGTTCTGTTCCAAGTAGAACTTGGCGAACTCTATCCAACGGTGCAATCAGATTTTCCATAGCTCAAACTGGGGTCCTACAAATCTCAAAATACTGATTTTTGCTAGTGAAATTTCATCACTCGATTCGAGTACTTCCACCACCGATTCGGTCAAGGACCTGTTCCAATTGTTCCAATGGCTGTTTCCAAGTACAATTCAACGAACTCTATTGAATAGTATGCTCAGATTTTCGGTAGCTCAAGATATAATTTTCAAAGCTCCCTGGCTCAAACCAAAATCTCAAAAATTTTATTTTGAGTTACCGAAAATCTGAGCATACCATTCAATAGAGTTCGCTGAATTGTATTTGGAACAGATTCCTAGGCGAATCGGTGTTGGAAATACCCGAATCGGGTAGCAACTTCACTTACGTATGTTCGATAAGTACTTTTCGAGAATAGACTTCGCAACACATGTGCACTGTTTATAGATACCATAGGCATTCGATGTTAGCTGAGCGAATCTAACTTACCACAAACAAAGCTCTTAGTCGTATTTTGAGTAACGATTCTCATTTCGCAATGTGTTCGACGCCATCGTTGTGGCTTTGGATGAAAGAAGTTAGCTTTTGTATACAAAAGAACGTCGAAAGTTATTGTGTCCCTCGAATCTCCTTTCTACATGACAGCTCTTATACGTTATTTTTCTGTATTCGATAAATTAAGAGATAGCTGGACGTTTATCTTTTCATAAGATGAGACGTGGTGTCATCAGAGTAGGGTGTGGGTGTGAAGCGTGGGTGTGGAGTGTGGAGTGTGGGGTGTGGGATGTGGGTGTACGGGAAGACGTGGTTGTGGGTGTGGAGACCGAGATGGAGATGAGTCTTCTCTTCATGTAAGCCCACACCCACACCCGGAGAAATCATGGTCAACAACAAATCTTTACAGATGAAAACTCTTTTCATAAAAAAAAACAAGAAAAATCCTAATGAATAGATAACGTTTTTTTGAGTACTGCAAAGATAAGTTTTTATAGCTAATTGCTAGTACAGCAATGGTCAAGCCAAGAACGAAGCTTTTCTTCTGCATTCTCGGATGATGAGCTTTCATTAGGATCGACTTTGTTGATATCTTCTAATCGATCGATCTCTTCTCCATGACGAAAGAAAATAAATGTTGGTGCTTTGATAATTTTGTATTCGGTTTTTAATTCACTCTTAGGAGTGATGACACATTTGTAAACATGAAGATCATAATTCTTTTCGTAAATATTACGCCATGAGTTAAATTTGTGTTCTACATCATGTGCATCGGAATATCTATTGTTGTCAAATATTCAAATGAAATATATTATTAAACTCAATAACTTGAATTATTTACTTTTTATTGAATAAAATCAGAACCAATTTTTTCTCTTGTATTTTTTCAATCACTTCTTTTACAGATTGAAGCTCGGGAAATGAGGAATGATGCATTGTAAGTCGAAAAGCCATGATGTTGCAGTTAAATGGCGATTTATAATGCACGTATCGTCCCTAAAATCAAAAAATCACGACGACGAGAAAGCAAACAAAAGAAAAATGAAAACGACGATGTTTGAGAGTCTTCAAAATTTGTTATATCATGGTTTCTACGGTCGATTGCACATGAAAATAGGCTGTAACGTCTTCGAGTATATCGAAAGAAGGAAAAAAAATTTATAATAGTCTACTATTCAATTTCATACTATGTGACGTTTTATGCTTGCTAGTCGTTGATTTCGGTTTGCTGTCACATTTGATTTGTATGATAATGTGTAAGAAACGTTTTGCGTTCTTTACATCGCTAATTAACTCTCTTTCTATTGCCTGATTGCTCGCCTCATCTCTCTCTATGTTTACCAATATCGCGACATTTTCTTTCTTGTTCTGTTACGACTTTCCAAAGAATGAAAATTAACATATAAAACTGCTCACTTTTAACCAGTCGTTACTGATTGTGCAAACAGATAGAAAGCAAACCATCCATCCAAAAATTGCAAGGTATGACGTTTGATAGAATTATTCAATGAAATCAAAATTTTCTTTACCAATTGCAGTCATGACATTGAATCTTATAAAAAAGACTAATATTTATGTGAAGATTCCGATGAGGATGAATGACAAAGGTAAGCGAATATGGGAAGAACTTGTTAAAGAAAAAGTACGAAAAGGTTCCTTGGTGGGTATAACATGTCATATTTACTCAAAATCCACCAAAGGTCCTATTGATGAGACAAAAAAATGTTGTTGTGGTCGATTGACACGTTCTCATAGTTTCGACGGCGAAGCTCAAACGCAGTTTGCCACTGAAACCGAATTTAATGAGATGACTTGTGTTCCTGAAGAAACACCACTGACCGTCTATGGACAACTTGGAATAGTTGGCAGTAGCGCTCGAGTATGTGAAATAAACAGCATGGTATGAGAAGGAATAATATGACACTGATTTTCATTGCAGTTCATTCGATGTTACGTGGGTCTACAGAACTTATTTGAAACATTGATCGACTTGGTCATCGAAGACGTGGATTCACAACCAGACTTACTGATCAGTTGCTTTGGTGGGGCTAAAAATTTTGCTATGACTGACAAGCTAGAAAAGGAATTTATGAATGGAATTTCACGAGCAGCTGTCACCAAAAGTAGGTTCTATTTCGAAAGTTGACAAAAGACTTCAAAATTATTGATTGAATAGGTGTATGGTTGTTGACGACAGGTCTGAATCAAGGTGTATCGAAACTGATTGGACAAAGCGTACATCGTTTTACTTTACTAAACAAGAACTTATCCAAACCAACTATTATTGGATTGACTAGTTGGGGTACGTTAACAGAACATACTCAAAAAGTGCTCAAGTATCAGGTAGAATTGATAAATATTGGATTCATATTCTTATTCTGCTGGGATACCTTTTTTCTTAGACATCAGAACATGTAGATAACATGGATTTTATACAATGCGATGAAGAAGATTCATTGGAAAGTTTAAATTGGAACGAATACAATACACTTGATAAGTACCATAGTCATTTTCTTCTACTGGACGATGGTCGTATGAATGTTTATCTGGATGATCGTCCTCGTTCAGATTTCGTTCAAAAAATGTGTTCTAAGACGAACTGTCATTCGATAACAATTATTATTGAAGGTGGTTTCAATACACTTGAAGTCATTAAAAATGATTTAAAAAATAAACGACCAGTTGTTATCATTCATGGTAGTGGCCGGTTAGCAAATGTACTCGGTACATTACTTGAAGTATCAAGCAAGAAAAATACACTTGAGTATGAAAGAAATCATGTTTCTACGAAATTTCTTTGTTTTTCTCTAGAAACACTGACGTGGAACAGCAAATTGCATTATTTTTTCCTGAACACGAGCGAGAACTTGACGAAGTTATTATGCAAAACATCATTGCCAATATAAGAGAAGTGTTAAAGATGGAATATCGTAATTATTTAAATATATTTAAACTCGAGCGTGACGCAAGTCTTACTGATACAATTATTAAAGCTATGGATAAAGGTATAATTATTTTCTCGAATTTCTACCCATAAATTCAGACTGGATTGATTTTCTTTCAGTTCAAAGCAATTCAGTACAACAAAGAAATTTATTAAGATTAGTTGTTAGCTGGAATTATGTACACAGAGTACAAAATATACCTAAACATTTAGAAGTATGTTAATTGAATGTTCTTGTAACAAAGATTTAGATCAGATATATTTTATTAGGACGATCAAACACTCTATCCTAGTCTGTTTCAACAAGCATTGAAAGAAAATCGACCAGTATTTGTTGACTATTTTCTACGACGATATTATAATCCTCTTACAACAACGACATATATTGAGTATTTAACAGCACTGATTTCATGACACTGTTACTATCTTGATCTTCTAGATCTAAGAAATCTTTGGAGAATAATGGTGTTAGATCCAGGAGCTATTCGAGTATAGTTGACTCGAAGCAAAAGCTGTCGGAACCGAGCATAGTTACTAAAGAAAAGTTGCGCGTTGCATGTGCTTTCAAACTTATTATTGATGAACTCTATCAATCCCTTGAAGCATCTTCTAATGTACGGTCTCTCTCTCTTTATGACACTCTTTGATCGTATTCATATGTTCTCTTTGTAGTATTGGAACATTCCGAAAACATTAGAGGAGCTTGATAAATATTATATGGATCTAGTTGGCTCATACGCAAAATCATTCTATTTTCAACAGAATCTATCCGATCAATTACGACTAAAGTTTAAGCAATTGTTTCAGCGTACTCATACATATGAGAGGAATGACAAATCACGGACAGAAGACGATGCTGAGATGTTGTGCCGACGATATCATATTGATAAATCGTTTGGCAAGCAGGAAATGTTGCGTGAACTTTTCTTATGGAGTGTCTATGCGGGATATTCTGATATTGCTTTTATCCTATTATTGCAACTAGAATCACGAATTAGTGCAGCACTAATTGCAGCATGTATCGCTCGGCGTCTTTCATTGTTTGCTATTAATTTGGACTTACGCCGCACATTCGATCAACAGACAAAAGATTATGAAGAATATGCGAGCGCTTGTGTAACAGCTTGTTATAAACATAATGAACGACTAGCTTGTCAGCTTCTTGTACGTGAAAATTTATTATTTGGAGATGTAACCTGTATGCAAGTATGTTAATAGATTCTTTCGAATAATTTCCTAGTTGAATTGTTCATATTAGATAGCCATTGCATCTCGTAATATTCCATTTATCAACACAGATTGTTTTAACACAGTTCTTACTAAAGGATGGGTTGATCAATTAGCTTGCAATATAACTGAACCGTCAAACTCAACAGTCAATTTCCTAGTCAGTCTGTTAACACTAGGATTGGCTGCACCGTACTTAATGAAATATCGTGAAGCAGATACTGATAACGGAACAAATCAAGATCATGTAAGACTATATCTCAATAAACCATACTTTATCCTATTATATCTTATACATTGATATTGCAGTCTGAGAAAAATGCTGTCACTGATCAACGTTATCGAAGGTATTTTGCGAATTTTCTTCTACTCTAATGAGATCAATCATTCACATGTGAATATCATTTAGATGGAAAGGAATCGAAGATGGGATAGTTGAGTTTCCTAATTACTGGCAAAAATTGTTGTATTTTCATTCAGCTCCTATTGTCAAAATGAACTATGATTTCGTGAGTAGTTATAAATGTCAATTTACTTGTAATTGAACAAATGTTTATATTGATGTAGGCTATCTATGTCTGGTTTCTATTAGTGTTCAGTTATGTGGTTCTATTTAATATGAAACGCGATGAAAATTTATTTTGTTGGACAAAAATCTATTTGATTATCACTGTTTCGGCAATGCTACTCGAAGATTTTCGTCAAGTACGTTAAAAAAAACTACTTCCCTCATCGTGTTCATGACGTTCTAAACATCATCTTAACATTCATTCATTTAAGTTTCTCGCCGATCTTTATACACAAATGGTAGAAAAACAGGATAAGTCACGCTCATGGATAGCACCTTTTCGTGCAATGATCTATATTCTTTTTTATATTGGTATTATATTTCATTTTAAATCAACTAATCGACCTGGCTTATTTAAAGTTGCTCGGTATGAAAATGATTGAATTATTGTCTTTTTATTTGAATATGATTTTTCATAGAATTATTCTTGCTATTGATCTGGAACTTTGGTTTCTCTTCTCATTACGATTTGTTAGTGCTATTAGACTTTTAGGACCAAAACTCTTCATGATTCAAAATATGGTGAGTAAAAACAATTTTTAATCATTCGATCGAAACAAATTCATAATGTTAGGTGCGTGATTTGTTGGCTTTCATTTATATTATTTTTGTGTGTATCGTCACGTATGGTGTAGTATCACGTGCGCTAGCGTTCTATAATACTTTGGATTTTACTGTAAAGAGTATATTGATGGTGGTCTTCTATCAACCTTACTGGTTTTTACATTCAATAGTTGACGATGAGAAAAAGACTATTGATGGTAAATCATATAATCTTTCCTCGATTAAGATAATAGGGTGTTATTTGAAGGTATCTTTTCAAACGCGGCCACAGTGGAAGATGTGTCAGCAGCCGTTGTCAATTATATACTCTTGATTTTTCATATGCTTATTATCAATATTTTGATTCTAAATCTACTTATTGCCGTTTTTAAGTATGTATTTTGATAATGACAAAAAACAATCTGACTATTTCAATTATATTTAGCTTTTCGATCAATGATGTTCAAGAAAAGAATGAATTTTTTTGGCGTTATCAACGATATAAATTAATTTGTGAATATTTTCAAAAGCCCCTCTTTGCTTACCCACCTCTTTCATTGTTGGCTTATATTGGATGGTTGATAAATATATTCGTCTTTCACGGTGCAACCTTTCGAATATTTAGTAAGTATCATGAACAAATCGTCTGTGTACTTTTATTTCATGTCGGTATATTTAGAGTATCGGCGTAGTCATCCTAAAATGGAGAATAATTGGACAGAATTTGAGAATGCTGCCACTTATGAATATGCACGTCATTTTGTCGAAGAGCATTATCGATTCAAAGACAAAATCACATTTTCAACGTAGGTTTGCCGATCTCATTTTCATTCTATACAATTACGAAGTTGTCTTTAGATTACAAGAACAAATAGATTCGTTGAAAGACGAAAACGAACAAATTCGAGGTCATTTGGCTTCTTTAAATTAGCTCACGATTGATATGGAGCGGATTATGCATGCAATTGATCACATCAACAGTTCCACTACCTAAATTCGAACATCAACCATGTGGGCAATACAGCAAGATTAGTTTTTCCAATAGCAGTTTATATATCTTTTGATTATACTTTCTCTTATTTTTGACCTAGTGTTTACTCATATTATTTTAAGTAAAGTTTTCTTTGATACCTTAGTGACTTTTTTGATATTCTAACAAAAGAAACTCTTGCAGTGTATGAAGAAAGTTTCTTCAAGATATCAATTGGTCAAGATATAGGCGCTTTTGTAGATAGTGTATCAAGCATACATTTAAAAAAAATTCCTTTTTCACGAGTTAAAACTTGATGTGCTTATGAATTCTGGAGTGTTAATTGTGGATATCACAATGAGAACTATAATATTTATCTTCGTCTATTGAATCCTCATAGTGTGATTCCAGTCAATCAGCTTTTCTATTTACATCCATAATAGTTCCATCGAAATCAAAGATACATTTGTATCATTATGTTTTAAACAAATGTTGGAAGTAATTAGGCCTATTATTGGTGTAGTTGTAGATGAAAATTGTAAGACATGGACGAGCAGCCGCTGATCGTATGGGTGTGGATGTCGGTGGGTGTGGGTGCGGGGTGTGGTGTGTGGAGTGTGGAAGTGGGTGTGTGGATGCGGATGAGGGTGTGCGTGTGGGTGTTATTGTGAAGAAGACTCCGATACCCATACCCACACCCACACCCACACCCACACCCACACCCACACCCACACCCATACTCACACCACCCTCACCTCCATAACCCATATCCATACCCTGTGAAAGATCCAAGAAATGAATAGATTGACAATCTTTTAATTTCACACATTTCCTTCCATTCTTTTTGTTCTTCATGCCATGAGTTTACCACCAAAATTCTATTCACATTTAAATAATCGGTCTTCAGCAGAGTATTCGAATGACGTGTTCACAATAAACAAAAACAATTTTGGTTTTTACTATCAAATTTTCTCTTGTCGCTGTTTGGTCCCATATCTACTACTTTCTTAGCAAGTTGAATATGTTTCGTCGTACAGTCTCATATTGGTTTTTTCCAACTTTTCCCCGTTTCAATGATTCTACATATGACCAATACTAACTTGTCAATTATAAGTAATGATGATCGTTAATAATAATTTATCCTTTTAATTTATCGTTGAAAGAGAAGAAATAGCGACGAAATCATTCATGCATGTTATAGGTATAGAAGAATATAATAGTTACGTTCGAGCATCCAAAAACAACACTCCATTCAAAAAAACAAGCGGCAAACTGTTATTCAGGGTGTGGGATGTGGTTGCGAGTGTGGGTGTGGGTGGCATGTGTTGGTGTGGATGTAGGTATGTGGGTGTGTGGATGTTGACCTCCTCTTAAAATACATCCACGCCCTCACCCACACCTACACCCCACACCTACACCCCACACCCTCTATGTATCCATCAGAAACAACAACTACTGACGTAAAATCATAAAGGTAGCGAATATATCAACGAAAGAAAAAATTAGGAGTTTTTATCGTCATTACCTACCTGCAGAAGAAAAAAATAAAACTACAAATAAAAGCTGTACTGCGTTCCTCTCATCTATTTATATGATTTCTTCCCTTTGCTGCAATAAAATTGCTCTATCCACCACAGAAAGCAACGATCGAGTTAAAACTCAAAATGAGAGAGAGAATGCAATAATGAAAGAAAAATTGAATTTTTTACCACAAATAACTGCTCGCAGAAGGTAAAACTGAATCAATACGAAGATTGTTTGATACCATAGTACTGTCTGTTTCTTATTTGTTTGAAAACTTCAAAGTATTCCTTGTCCTTATCAGAAAGCGCAACTACTGGCATAAAAGCCAGAAGCGAAGGGTGTAGATGCGGTTGTAGGTGTGAGTTTGCTAATGTACTGTGGTTTGTAGATGTAAGTGTGGCGTGGATGTGAATGTTGATGCGCGAGTGCGGATATAGATATGAATGGGTGTATGGATGGGTATAGGTATGGCCAGGACCCGCGAAAGTGGGGGAGGGGGTGTAGGGAGGTGTACACCCCCCTAATAATTGAAAATTATTTACTATTAGCCACCAAAATGGATAATATTTTTTTGAATCTATAAAGTATCTCACAGAGATATTTTCAGAAACATCTTTCAGAGGTGTCCTGAGTGGAAATGATCTTTATATAGTAATAATCGGCAACTATCGTTGAGATATCGGCGGAAAACATGAAGTTCTATGGCAAGTTGAAGAAATAAGCTGATTTTTTACTCGAAATTTCGGCTTAAACGATGGTTTCTGCTACAAAATTCTGAAATATTAAAATTTTTCGCTTTATAAAGAAGTAGCCGCATGGGCATACTCGCCTTGAAAATAACTCTGATCTTCCTGTTTTTATGGCATACTTTACCGCTTCCTACCTTCTGAACAGCTTTATTTGCGAACAGTCGTCGCTAGCGTGACCGCCTTCGGCGGTGAAATTGCTAAGAGTTATAGCAATACCTTTTGATTTTGAGAACAATCAGGAAAAGAAGAGTTTTTCATGAGTCTTATGTGAAAAAAGTTTTCGCTTCGCGAAAAATAACAGTTGCGTAATCGCGGTTAACTTAGAAAAACTTCTAAATTTAGTCCATTTTTCCTTCGAAACAGCCTAGTCGAGAACAATCGTCGCCAGAGTGTCCGCCTTCGGCGGTAGAAGTATTGAGGAATTTTCTCACATCAGACGCTGGTTGTCTTCTTGAAAATTTGCCAGAGAAAGTCGAGTTTTCTGAGAAGGTTGCAAAAAAGTTTTCGCTCCGCGAAAAATTGTTGCATTTCAGGTTGCACGAGAAAGATGAGTATTAGGTCTGATGCGGAAAAAAATTTTGTTATCTCCAAATTTGACTACCTCAGGAGTCTTACACCCCCCCCCCCAAACCTGGGACCCTCGCGCGGGGCCTGGGTATGGCTGTGGGTGTGTGTCTTCTCTTCATCAAATGCATACTCATACGCACGAATGAATCCATTTGTGTTGAACTTTTTTCTTGCCGACGATGTCTTTCGTCGATTCCAATATCGCCGAATGAATTCATAACCGAAAACGAGTCTGGACCAAACCTGATCTGTTCTATATATAGCCATTCTATTTTAATAGACTGGCCCATTACCAGATCGATTGGTTATTATCTCAGTTTGGTGGGAGCACGGGTGGAAGCGAAGTGAACATTCACACCCACCCTCATTCGGCGATATTGAAATCCGCGAAAAAATTCGGCGAAAACAGAAATTATCATACGTATACTCACGCCCTACCACAGTTGCAGCCATACGCTTCATCATATTGAAAGCAGATTACAGGAAGGAAAGAAAACAGAAGGTGCGCACAAGAAAAAATACACCCATTGAAGATGTAGATGAAAGAAAAAGACAGAATAAACCGAGAATAGAGAGACCGATGACGTGACACAGAAAATTATAACAAAGACTAGCAAGAAAACATGACAAAGTATATTTTTGTTGGAAATATCAAGAAAGCTGATCTCAAAGCAACTCGGTAAAACGCATTCTCCACTTATGTTTATGTCAATCAGCAAACATCTACGCTTGTGACGAGTTGAAAGGAAATTATTTGCATATTTTTCCTTTGCAAAAAAAAACTTGTTGATGATGAAAATGACGAAGAGAATGCAGCTTACGCAAATACTCATATTTGCCATCATCTTGTACACAAACTTTTAACGGAAGTTGTATACTTTTTCCAACTGCATTAATGAAAAAAACATGTTTGGTCTTTGAAAAATTTTCCAAATTGTTTTTTTTTTTATAAACTTTGTCATGAAATGTTGATGTGCGTCATGAAGAGAAAAATTATTCCGAGTTGGCTGTTGACAAATAAAAAAAGAAGAGTTTTGGACAATCCTTATTTTTCCTGAGTACAACTGCTATTGATCTCTTCATTTTCTTCAGTTTACTATATATCGAAAACTCGAACATAAAAATGTTCATACTTCTTGTTTCCGAAATAAAACATGTGCTATGACTATGGGGTACTTCCACTTTCCCTTTTAAAAAAATAAAGAAAACGAAAGCTGGAATATTTTAATATTCACCTATTTGCAGATATTGTGTTACCTATTGCAGAAACAATAGAACAATTATTTAAAAAGCGTTAATTGTAATTACTCTGTGTGACTGCTATGTAGTCAATCTTTTTCTTTTTGTGCTACTTATTTTATCACGATTACTCCAAATCTTCTTCACTGTGTTTTATTGAGAAAAGAAGTAATATCGAAATTCGGTGAAATTCAACCAGACTTCTGCAGAATTCGGTGCATTCCAAATATTTCCAAACATTGTATTCAGTTCCATTTGATACAATCTTATCATCAGATTCGAAAGTATCTGAGCAGATATTTTCCGTCGTCATCGGATTCAGAATCCTGTTGTCAAAAGTCGTTAAAATTCGACTAAAGTATTTGTGAGATCCAGTATCTGCTGATTTCTTCCATGTGAGATGTCTAGAGGAAGATTCGATAATATCCATTTAACGAATTTAACAGGAATTGATCGGATCTATGCCGAAAAAAAGTCAAGCCGGATCGAATCAATTAGGGACGAAATCGTGCTAAAAAATATTCCCTACTTTTTTTTCTTTATTCACTTCCTCAACTAAATATAATAAATTTATTCCTATAATACATAGCCCACACAATGCTCGAACTCATTCTATATTCTTATTTCGTATTTACTATTGATTTATCGTGAAGTTCTGAATTCCGTTTACTGAATAATTCGTACGTCTATCAGATGAAAGTATTATTTGTGCCAATTATATTATATAAATCATAAATAATATCCGCTTAACAGTTAAAAAATGTGCATATCATCAAAGAAAAACAAATATTGTAATCATTAATTAAAACAAAGAAAAAACAACTATTCACAAGTTGAATTTGCCGCAATCCAACTCGTACCCGTCGGACAAGCACATAGTCCCGCATTGCAATAAAGTGTTAAAAGACATGTATAATTCGCTGATACTATGCATGCACCATTATATGTAGCTCGACTAACTATTTCAAATAAATAAATAAATAATACAACAAAACAAATTCTCTAAGTAAATCTTCATACCACATTGTTGTATATTTAAATCGTAATATTTTGTATTTGGACAATTGCATACATAATCTGGTAAATATCGAGAACAATTACAAACACCTGCTACTGTTGGACATATTAATGTTGGTATACAATCACTATCTGATGAACAAAAATCTGAATAATTAACACGTTGTACTAAATAAAACATTAAAAATAAATCATGATGTTTAATTTTTTTCTAAAAATAAAATAAAAGAATTTATCATACGGCATGTTTCAAAATTTAAATTCCAATATTTTGTTGAATCACATTGACATTGACTATTATTAGAACAAGAAAGACCTCTTGTTGAATCACATTGATTTGAACCAATTAAACATGATTTATTATTTTTATATGCTGTTTCTATAGAAATTAAAATCATAGTAAAGTTTTTTATGAAAATAAGAAAATCAAAACTTACGACAAAGATTTGATGAATTTAAAAAAGTTCCAGCTGGACAAATACAACTTGATATATTCCATATTTTAGAATTCTTACATGTACAATTACTAGTACAAGTAAGTTCAACTGATGAATTACATTGACTCGATCCAACAGCACATGTATTACCATAAGTTAAAGTATTATTTACAATAATTACACCTATTTTAAATATGATATGAAGTATTTGATTTCTTTTTCTTTTTTTTTATTTCGAATTCAAATTTACATGTATTATTTGATGAACTCCATGAATGATAACTATCACATTGACAAATTTGATTTGTACAAATGAGTCCTAATGATGAATTACATTGATTTGATGCCAAACAGGCACGATTATATGCCAATAATGTGCCTGAAATAACGCTAAACTTATCAGATTTCTTTATCTCATTTGAGATCAATACTTACAAGTGCTAGTTGCTGTATTCCATGAATAAAGTGATGTACAAGAACAAAATCCATTTGGACAATAAAGACCTTGTGAAGATTTACATTGATTTGAACCTGTTTTACATACTTCATTGTATGTAAGAGATTCATCAGCTGTAACTGTTGCTATAAGTAAAAAAAAAAAAGTTAAATTAAAGAATTTTTTGTTCTAAAATAAAGAGAACATCTACTTTTTTGACTCAATGTCACTCCTACAACAGTTCCAATAATAATAGAAGCAAGCACAAGACCACCGACAACAAATCCAATAATAATATTTCGTTGTTGTGTTTCTGTCGTTTTGAATACATCTTTCTAATAAAAATATAACAAATAAGTTGATCTAAAAAAAAAAACCAAGCATCTTACATTATTTAAATTTGGATCCCATGATAATCGTCTAGTTGATTCATCGACTTCATAATCATTTGTTGGAATTTCTTTTATTTGAATATTATCTATAAATTGAATATTTCTTGGTCCAACTCTTGCTATTCGTTGCATGACTATTTTTTCATCTAATCACGTTAAAACGAAAAAAAAGAAACTAATTCTTCTTAGTTTCTTTTTACTAACTATGTGATTGAAGTATCAAAGAGAGTAAACAATTTTGTTGCCGTTAATCAGAAGTACATAAAAAATTTCAAAATGAAACGGTAAACTTAAATGAACTTATATTTGTTTTCATCATGAAAAACAAAAACATAAAGAAAGGAACAAAAAAAATGTATAAAAACTATCGTAACCGATGAAAACAAACTAAATCGTACTTTTTCTTATTTACTTTTGGCGGGACATTTAGTTTCATTCCATCGCCCGATTAACATGTGAATTTTTTCATACTTAGAAATATAGTTTATTTTGACAATAATCAAAAAAGTGTTTTTTTTTTGTTTCATGATAAATAACTTCGATTAATCCTGTATTTCAACATAATGAGAAATAAACATGCTTAAACTACGCAGTTATGTGACATGAATTATTGGTATTAATAAAAATAAATAGTTTTGCATAGTAGTCAAAGAAAAATGTTTTAAAAAAGCTTGTTAGCGCAGCCCCTTTGGGGCTAAAATGTGGAACTCACATATTCTCTACGATTTAAGTAGTTATTCGATAGAGGGTCTTTAATTTTTTTATATATTAAATGTGAAAATATGGGAATGGTAAGCGTAAATTAAAACAAATGAGGATTTATTCAGTACAAGTTTGTTTCGTTATTAATGGTTACTAGTATTATAGTGAAAATATTAGGAATTTTAGATCAATGCTTTTCAATATATTCAGGTTGTTGTTTGTTTAAATATAATATTCTAAAAAAATGTCATGAAATATTTATATGATATGTCTGTTTATACTGTTAATGTTGTAAATGATGCATAGAGTGAGAAAGTGTTTAAAATATATTTTCGTACGATTCCAAAAAGTGAGGTAAAGTTTCATAGGTTAGTTTAAGAAAAAAGTTAGATTGCATTAAACTAATAAAATTTTTAAATATAGTAGAAGAGTTCAAAATTTTCATTTTGACAGCTCTATAATAAGAAAATTTTGAAACGTTTTTTTTTGTTATTTATAGGGAAAATGCATGAAAATAATTAGTTGAACTTACTACGAGACATCTAGAAAGGTGCTAGTAATTACAATAGCGATAGATCGAAAAAAAGTCAACATTTTTGTAAGAACAATGAATAAAAGAAAAAAACTGTTTATGTACTGATAGAGAAGGGTGAAAGACAGTTATATAGCGACTCGTTTTCCACCTATTTTTGTTTTATTTTTAACAGGAATCTTTTGCTTGTCTTCTGCTTTTAAAGCGTTGCACAGTTCTTGAGCTAAATCATTTTGTATTTTATGATCAATATCGTAGTTTTCTTCGCAAGCATTTATTTGAATGAGCGAAAGTAGTTACTGGAAACAAAGAAAATATCTAATAATTTATATTTAGATGACTTTTAGTTTACTTGCTCAACTCTGTAATGACGCGAGCTGCGTTGCTACGGTCTGTAATGGTGGATTATCTGTAATGGAGTTGTCTGTAATGTTCTCTTTCTTCGTTGCTATGGTCTGTAATGGGGGGGGGGGAGCCGCCAAACCTCGAACTTAAAACTTACACTCACTATTTTCTTCGAAAATATATGTGAGTTCCACAAAAAATTATAATTAGAAGTGTAGGCTGATGTAAAATACAATGGCAGGGGTTGAATTATGTATTACTGTAGTTTTCTTTCAATGTCAGTGACTATAGTAATCCAAAGTTTCGCTGGCGGCGCTTAACTAAACAACTTACATATCTGATTATGATCAAATAAATAAATCGATAATGAATCTTAAGAATTCTTCAAAATGCCACAATATTAATTCGTTCAAATAGAGGATTTTTTTAAAACTTGTCAAACAAAATTTGACAGCATTTTTAATACTAGTTTGCTGTTATTACGCATCTATTTGTATAATTGTACGCGTAAAACATTGTTTATGCAAACGAAAAGTTTTCACATTTTAATACACATAGTATCTTTTTATCCTTTTAGTTCAGTTAATATGAACACGATATTTTTAAATTTTTAATTTATTTTGTGTGTCAAGAAAACATGGGACATATAAAACAAACATAATAATATTATCATGCAATTATTAAAATCATCTTTTGATTCAATACCTGAGTTCTTTCTTTCGTGTCGACTTATCATTTTATTTAATTTTTAGGATATTCTTCTATTATGTATAATTTAAATCTTATCTTAACATCCGAATCTGATATGAAGTTTCACGTGTACGTACAGCCCTGAAAAAGAATAGCTACTTTCTCCGGAAATGATACTATTCCCTTATAATATTGGGCTGATGTTTTGGAAATATACGTGGAGAAATTAACCCTAATTGCAAGCATCAATCCACTTTCCATCGATTCGAATATACTGAAATTATGCTTCACACATCATCTTCATCTTGTTATCAAATTATTGTGATCATGTTGACAAAAATATTTTTACTCAATTTTTCATTCGAAAGTCTAATGGCACAACAATTTCTAGTCTGATTTTAGTTAAAAATCTCTTTAAAATGATCGAGATATTGTCCTTTCATGAAGAACGTCTGTTGAAGAGCAAACGCTGGTTTTCAGTACGATAAATCTTTTCCATGATGAATTTGATCAATTCATTTGAAAGTTTCAGCAGAAATTTTTCATTAAGTGACGAATCTATGCAGAAAGCTTCAGAGTCATGACACTAAATGAAACTCGAGTTAATGGTACAACATGGATTGACTATCTTAGGGCTTGCTTTACTCAGATCTTGACTAAATGTCATAGATTTTGATGATAATATAGTAGACATACGGGACTGTATTTAGCGCTAGAAAAATAACATAATAGCTTGTGGAACAGCAAAAAATCAAACAAGAACTTTTCGCATGCTTATTTCAACTGAGCATGTTTTTAACGAGGGAAAAACAATGTCTGAATGACGACTCCGGTAAATATGCATCCGTAGAAACTGGGTCAATACTTGTCATCATAGTGTGAGTATCGGTGCGTTGATGCGACGGTGTTAGTGGATGAGTTTGAGTGTGAATCCAGAGAAGATACTCTACCACATACTCACCCCTACACCAGAACTCATCGGGTTCAAAAATTTTTGGATCTGGAACCGAATCCGGACTCGATCGGATCCGAGCCCGTGTTCGGGTCGAACCCAATAAGCTCTACCCTACATCCACATTTACCTTGTCTGCTTTGCAGAAGACTATTGCTACTCAAAAAATCGGATTTAAATATATACCACAGTACACTAAATCATAGGGGCCCAAATTTTTCCCTATAGGTTAAGCCTTCTCTAGCTAATGATTATTTTTGTGACACCATTTTTAATAAATAATCAACCTGGAAGTCTAAGCGACAGTAACCAATGTGGCTTGTACAAACGGCTTGAGCACGCTGACAGTAATCAGAAAATACGACTTCGAGTGAAGTCTACCATTTTTTTAAAGAGTTTAAAGATGTTTACTCAGATAAATATTAAAAAAAATCAGGCAGATAAACTGAACGGTAAATCACTAGCGACGTTGTTACACGCAACCTTCTAGTATCAAAGAGTATCAATGTGACTGCATATCAAAACTCAAGTTGCAAACTAAAGGAAACTGCTTCACTGTAAATAATTCGTTCTACGTACTCAAGGTATTTTTGAATTAGTCAGAGTCGTCATTCCTTTACTTTTACTCATTGATAAAAAGAAAAAAAAAAATTTTTTTATGAATCATTTTTTGCATATAAAAAAGCATATATATATTATTTTTCTTCTGTTTTTTTTCACCTTGTCATTCAATATATAAGCAAATTATACTTCTTTGCCACTAACCTTTTTGTAAGTTTTCATTATTTAATAATCAGCAAGATGAGTCGACTTTTCGGTTGGTCAAAATCCAATACTATACCTAAACCAACATTAAATGATACAGCAGCAACACTTGATTTACGTGTTGAAACAATCAATAAACAAATAGCTATAATTGATCATGGTGAACTTATGAAAATAATTTTGTCTTATGAAAATTTTCACTTCTTTTTTTTTTGTTTTAGAATTACAAGCTTATAATAAATTACCCCCAGCTAGAAAAGTAAAATTTAAATTTTTTTTAATACAAATTAATAGTTTTTTTTGTAAAATATATAGGCAAGTCAAAAATCTCGAGCAATGGCTCTTCTAAATAAAAAGAAAATGTAAATAATTTAAATCGTTTAATTTGTTTTTATAAATAAATTCTTTTAGGTATGAAAGACAACGTATGACAATAGAAGGTCAAAGTGCTAATATTGCCGCTACTACTTTTGGGATTAGTAATATTGCAATACACAAGGAAATGGTAGAAAAAAAAGTTTTAATCTTCATTTATATAATTTACGATAATATTATTTTAGTATCATGGTTTAAAAGATGCAAAAAACCAATTAGCCAAAGGTTATAAAGATTTAAAAATTGAAAAAGTTGAAGTAAGTTTTCAAGCAATTAATATATTCCTTCTAATCTATTCAATACATTCTATTAACACTCCGATCTCAGAAGTAGTTAATATGATTTTTGTTATATTTACTGTAGTTTTTAACTGATTATGTGTATGATAAATATAATCAAAACATTAAACTGATTTTCATAAGGTTTTGAAAATTTAAATAAAGGCAACTATAAGTTTCACAGTCATTTTTGATTATAGAACGGGACTTGCGTCTTTTTGTATTGTGATAAATGCTGTATAGTGTCTTTATAACTATGTAAATTAACACTTGCCTGATATTATGACTCTTCCTACGAGTTCTCTAAAGATCGAACGATGCGATCTACACAGAAGATAGATCTTTTTTGGTTTGGCGGAGTTCCACATAGCTTGATTTCATTTGCATATAAAATGAAAAGATTGAATTTCAAACATCTATACGGAGAAGAAGAAAAAATGCTTGGAATATTTTTTTCCGTGGCTTAACTTTTGAAATCTCTGATTTTTTTCAT